CGCACAAGGTCGATTATGGAAAAACAAGCAATACAAGCCGGGATACAGAAGAAGAGCAAGGTGCGTGTATATATTGTAGAGTGACGCAGTTTATACCGGAGAACGTCCTTGCAGAAGGTCGGGGGCGATGCTATGCATTTTTTCAGTTCGATGAATTTGTTTGTGTGATTCAATATTTAACGAGGTGAAAGTAACAACGGACTTTTATCGAATGGAATAAAATATAGATTTTTGTTTTATTTTGTATTTCGAATAGAAAAATTGTATTTTATATAAACCAGGAAAATTTCGTTCTATGCAACTCTATACAACTGAACTAATTTACGAATAACCTCAAAATATTATCTTCTCAAAAGCGTATCATTTAATGCAACTTGGCACACATTGTTATTATACTTTACCAAGATTGTAACAAAAATTTCAAATTGGTTCATTCAATAGTTTTCGAGATATGCGAGAATGCACTCTGACCTGAAAACTAGCTTAGTTTCAGGTTGAGAGCACTTTTGGCCTAAGTGCACCATGGTATCTTCTCAAAAGCGGATCGTGTAAATTTAATGAAACTTGGCACACGTTGTTATTATACTTTACCAAGATTGTAACAAAAATTTCAATTTGGTTCATTCGATAGTTTTCGAGATATGCGAAATTACACTCTGTTGAGAGCACTTTTGGCCTAAGTGCACCATGGTATCTTCTCAAAAGCGTATCATGCAAATTTAATGAAACTTGGCACACATTGTTGCTATATTTTCTAAGATTTAGTCAAAAACTTCAAATTGGTTCTCTCGATAGTTTTCGAGACATGCGAGATTACAATCTGACCTGAAACTAGCCTAGTTTCAGGTTGAGAGCGCTTTTGACCTAAGTGCACCATGGTATCTTCTCAAAAGCGGATTATACGAATTTAATAAAACTTGGCACACATTGTTATTATACTTTTAAAGTGTCATATTTTTGGTAATACCAAGATTATGACAAAAATTTTAATTAGGTTCATATGGTAGTTTTTGAGATATGCGAAATTACACTAGACTAGTTTCACATCATGTTAGTCATATGTCTCTGACGCTAAAAAGTTTGCATATAAAGTTTACATATATGTCATACATTTAGACATATCGCCCTGCAAATTTCTTGGGCCATGTCAGTCATATATTTGTGGCATAAAAAATAGTGTTTTTTATTTAGTTACTTGACTAAACAAATTCTAGACAAATTGTCTAATGTAAATTTGTTATCAAGGTAATAATGGTGTTTTTACTTCATTTTCATAATCGTATGTACACGTAAAAATAAAACAATCGTAATTTTTAAAAATCACATTAAACCATATAATTATATGATATTTTGTAACGAGCCAAGTACAAAATATCAATTTTAAAATAAATTCTGCAATATTATATTCAAGGTCATATAACTAATTCCAATAATAATTTCCAATAATTATTTATGTTGAGCGAAAACATTAATTATTTAAAAATCGTAAACAGATTAGTCAACAATATTGTGATTCATTATGCAAGAATGAATCATACAGAAATATTTATGTTAAAATCACGATAAAAACTGCTTTAATCCAGTTCAGAAAAAAACTGAAGTTACGTAATATTAAATTTATGAATGTATTCATAGTTTTAAACTGCGAATATATTACATAAAATGCGTAGTACTTAATTAATCTAATTAAACTTAAGAGTTAGAGAGTACTTGATATATGTGTCTCGATAATTGGCTACAAATTATCTGAACCATTCGACTAACCGATTCAAAAAGATCTTGTATTGATTCGATTCTAAATAAAAATATCATTTCAAAAAAATCCCACATTTATAACTATTTTGCCTAATTTTTCAGAGTTCACATTTCTAAACATTGGGCTATTAAGAGAAATTTTCGAATAATTGAAACGTTGCCAAATAACGTTACGAGATCTTAAATTTCAATCTCGTTGATAAATAGTTTCATATATTAAAATCATTTAACATAAATATTGAATCTTGAGCAGCCATAAATTTCTGATAATAATCAAACGCGAGAATTATGAACACGATTTTGCCAAATATTTGAAGTATGCTCGAAAAATAATAACCAATGAGTAATTATATTCGTAAAATAAATTTCATTCGATTTTTAATGTTATTATGTAATTTAATTATTTTGACGTAGACTTCAATAAACAAAAATCTGTATTAGTTCACTATGTCTAAAAAAGTAGGATTATGGACATACCAAAATGAAATACCTCAGATTATCGACAACTCTAAAAATAACTCAGAACTTGGCGGTACTTCATAAATCCTCCAGATTTACTTTTAAAACAAAACTATAAATGGAATAAATTTATAATCCAAGTGCATGAAAAACTTCTATTACCGAGTTGTATCGAACATAAAATGACATTTAATACAAAATATAAGTTTCGCCTTATAAAATAAACCGCATGTGGATTTACTGATTTCACGCTTATTTCTAAGTCACGGTTGATAATATTTGGAGAAGCAAAACTAAATTGAAAAAAAATATGTCTATAATAGCGAAGTTAATAAGTTTGTTGATTTTTGGCCAAGACTTGTACGACTAGGTACCCGTCACGAGATTGGGTGATTGATTGCGCGAATATTACGAAAGTTTACCTTCATCTATAAGACGTCAATTGAGTTTGGCAAAATATTCAATTAAAGAGAGCTATTTTGTAATTAAATAAACCAAGGAAAACTATTTCTCAGAAAATATCTTAGCAATAATTGTATTTTAAAAATATAAATCAACAGAGTCTAAAAAATGCTTGTTTTAGTCATGGCCAAACCATGACCAAAGACAATTTTATTTCTTCTGTTTGAACTCCAGTTTTTTACTTACATTGTTGCAGTTTCAGTGATTTTTTTGTATTTAAAATAAAACTAGTGACGTATACAAAATTACAAAGCCAAGGACATTAATTATCTGTTATCACGAGCAAATATTTAGATGGCTACCACAACTTTTTTTATAGTTGGGTTTAAACAAACTTGAAACACACGTGGATAATACTCGTTAGTGCTCAAATAAATTTTAGATATAAAAGCAACCTTTCAAAATTATACAGATGTAATTAAGTCTTCAAAAGCCAAAACCAATATTATATCAACTCATAGGTTCAAATAAATGTTTTATTCCAATCCCAGTCTCGAAGAAATGATAAAACCCCTGGCTTTATTGATATATAATATCATCCATGTATATTGAAGTGTACTGGAAACTTAAATACACGAAGGAAATTCAAAAGTAGCACAGTAAGCCGGATTCCCCAAGGTATTTCAGACACGTGCCCTGAAGGTCGTGAACCCCTGACACTGTACAAAGAAAGCCTTGGCACTGACTGGCTTCGAGGGACACATTTACAGGTAACAGACATCTTTATGTGTGACAAAAGAAAACACCAACCACGGTAATTTTATCCATAAAAATTTATTATATTACTACTACAAGTATTTTTTTTTATTATTTTTGGCAATAACCAAACCATTTACACCGTTATCTTTATTTTACTCAGGTTTCATATATGCATATTCCAAATTGCTTAGATAAAATTCTACTAACTACCTGCAGATAAAAATGCAATTATTTAAGCGACATTAGACAAACAAAATTGCGGATTTTTTGTAACTTATCTTATCGCACTGATAAATTTAATGCACACGACTGAAATCATAATAATGAAAAATTCTCATAGCATTTATTGTGATAAGATAGTAGAATTAATACAATATTCAAATACGCAACATATTAATTAAATTAAAGATTAAATACTTAGTGATAAATTAACCCAGTCGAATTAATAAGATTGCTGATTTCAATCAGTTTTAATGAAATGATGCAACTTCTAAAAATTGTTTATAAAATTTTTAACTTAATTATTTCAATGCTAAAAATATTTTAGGATATTTATTTAGTAGTAGACCATAAAAATTCAACAAAGAATACATTCCATAACTTCTTGTACAAATGGCAAAACAATTACCCTTTATTTACAAATTGCCATAAGAAAATAATTACACAAACATTATTTTCCATTCGCATAATCATTCGCCCTGTGGAATTTATATAATAAATTATATAAATCATAATTTTATTACACAGTTTTGTCAATCTTTTAGCCTTTTCAAAATAAAGACAGCTGAGTTCCAGCAATTAAGGAATTAAGGAATGCTTTAATGACAAAACCAAGGCAAATTATAAAACAGCCACTCATTTCATGAAATAATTCATTTGCTTGTATAAAAAAAATATATGTATAAAAATACTAAATCAAGTTATGTAATTGTGTCTTGTAATATAAAACTTGGAATTAGCTCATTAAAAGTTTTGAATATATGGGATGCGTAAGAAAAAAAATAGTCAAACTGGTATAATAAAGATGAACATTGTAGCAACAAAATTATAATAATAATTATATTACATAATTTCATAAAGCAAACATGCAATATTGCAAATCGTATTAATATTTGCAACGTTGAACGCAATTTAATGGATGACGCACGTGGTTGGAGACATAAGGCATTTTGCAATATAATTGTTTAGCATTTTATATATAAAATGGAAAATTAAAACATATTAGGATAAATAGGACTAATAAAATTTCACAACAAATTTAAAATTAAATGTGCTCAAAATTGGTTATGAAGCATTTACAAGGAACAAAGGCTGTTGAAACAATTAGAGACCTTGATAAATTGAAGCATAGTAATTGATACTAGGCGATAAATTATAATAAAATTAAATTTTTTGTGATCAATAGTTCATTTGTTTACCAGTGATTAAATATTTTACAATAATGACTTTCAGGATATATTCGCTTTGTTTATAATTGAAATACAGTATTCTATAAATATAGAAAGAAAACTCTTCCCCATTAAATATTAAGAATATATAAATTATATTAAAAATGATAAATGTTAAATTACATGTATATCACCATATAATAAATCAGATATTTTGGTGCAGTTCATGCAACTTACTCCAATAAATGGCTCCAAATCCTCCGTCTTCCAAATTTAAACACAATTCTCCTCGAAATCAAATCCCTCAACTATTCAACAAATATCTTAGACTTCCTGAACACAATTCACAGAAAACCAGCTTCATAATATTGCACAATACTGTCAAATTCCTCTGGTATTTCAACTGATTCAATGAATTTGGATGAACTATTCAGAGGTCCAACTATTTTTTTCGTCCTACCCGAACACAGACAGGTACAACAAAGAAAATAAAACAAATGCTTTAGACGAGCCACAAGTTATGAGGTAAGTGAATAATAAAGAACCCAGAGAGAGATGAAAATATTGGAACGATACCGGCAGAAATAAACAAGAAAAAGATAGACTGTTCAACTAGATGGAGTACTTTTTTTCCTTCGGTAGTGGGGCGATTGGAGCTATTAAGTTGTATGACTTTAGCATTTCTTAATTGACTTTGAATTAATTAAAAGACAAAGTTACATTAGCTTATTTATATAGATTTATTAATTATTCATGAAAATAAAACGTAGGAATAAATTATTGTATCTGTATTATTTTTTCAGAAATTAGGGGTCAACTATGTGGTGAGATAGATCATAACATAACGTTGTTATGGCAACGTATTATTTGCCGTTCTCCTTTATGGTAGTCTAAGGTACATAATAAAAATATAAAATAACTATTTCATATTGATTCATTTTTTGTTCCTGAAACGTTAATCGCTACCACCCACAACAAAAAAAATCCATATGGGCCATGATAACTCTATTAGATAATTTTGTTAAAAGTATATCAAGAAAACTTAGAGACCAATTCTACGGTAACATAGACTATAACACAGTGGCAACGCTATCTGTTCGGACGTCTTTTCGTTTTATTATATTGGCCATGAAGGTGACAAACTTCAGGGCATTAAGCTTTACACGGAATGGTTGCTACCCCTGGTAGAGAGGGTAGCGGAGTGGTTTAATTGAACTAGTTGTTCACTTCTAAAAGTATAGTCCGTTTAACAACATGTGAATAACCAATAAAAATAAATATATCTTCTTTCATTATAACTTAGTAACAAATCAGTGATTGTAATTAGAACTGCAACAAATACATAATATACAAACAAATCAGTGTTTAATACAGTTCACAGCAAGGGTAATTATAACCCAACAACCTAAATGATCGAAGGAGAGTTTTAATAAATTCTATAACTACGTTACAAAAATACACTATCATATCCGTTTTTCTTGGTACTAAAAACTGTAACAATACTATCTATTTACTGTACTATCAGGCGTTTTCTGGGTTTGTTTATACGTAAAACAGGTCTGATCTTATAGCAAATAGATGGCATTTTCAAAGTTTTTATAACTAAGAAAAAAGGATAAGATAGAATTTGCAGAATTGGGCCCTTAATGTAACAAATAAAAAAAATGTTTTGCCAAAATTCCTAAAAAACACTATTTTTATGTCAAAAATATATGATTGACATGGCCTTATGTAAAAACTCTTTTTTCTCGACATATATGTCTGACATGACTCATGCAAACTTCTTAGCGTCAGATATATTTGACTGACATGGAAATAATGATTGATTATGAAATATAAGTATGGACTAATCATCAAATTATTTTTAAACATCTGAAATTCTGTTCGATCTTGTCTGACCATCATGTCCATTTTAGAAGGCGAAGATTTTAAAAGCACATGATTCCGAAAAATATTTTATTTCGTATCATTAAATATTGAGATTTTATTTTAAGTCATAACATTATTATGATTTATTCGGTTGAAAGGAAGCCAATGAAATGTAACATAGCTGGTTTCCATTAGGACACACTAAATCTGCTCAAAGCCGTCGACGTCTATATTTTGGAGTACCCAGTTTTTTTTAATGGCACATAAGTATACGGTACGAACATTTCGATTAAACTTTCATCATCGAGATGAATATATAAATTGTTATAACATAAAAAATAATACTACAAAGATTGACTTTTGGCAACTGTGTCTATATGTCGAAAATAATGATGTACTGTCGATGTATCAGTTTTTTCTCCATTATTTTAATTTTTTTATTAAATTATTTTATATTCTTAACACCAAATTGGATCATTATTATATAACCAAAGATCGATTTTCCTATTTTCGTATAAATTAGCGTAGGTTTGATTCCCAAGGCATGGCTTCTGTACACGTCGAAGATATATCAAGTTAATGTATAATCTTATTAGATACTTGCGCAGATATTTAAGTATCTCTCAGGCCAGATATATGTATATGTATATGTATATATATATATATATATATATATATATATGTATGTATATATAATTCTAAAATTAATATGTTATACTGAATAATCATTATTACCATAATTAGTGAGTTTTAATACGCTAGGACAAGGACGGTCAGATCTGCAAACACGTGGATAAATATTTACTGATTAATTAGAGGAAATCTATATTATAATTTTATTTATCTCATAACAAAAAAATTGCTTTGTATACTTGCGGTTGAAATTACATATCGATATAATTATAATGTATTTTGAAATTCCTAATACATAATTAATCAAAGTCTGTACGCAGTTCTATAATACTTAACTTATCAATATATGTAAATATTCTACGGTGTAAAAACTTATTGTAGTTGCGAAATGTTGTATTATAACTTATAAATATTCCATCCACTTGGAACGAGTTTTGAATCTGTATTTGATTTAGAAATTTAAATTTGCACCGAAATTTTTAAATAAAAATATGAGTCAAGAAAAATCTGCAAGGATTAATGACAATTAGTTTTTAAACAGATTTTCGTAAAATATCTGATATATTAGGTTGTCAAATATCTCCCTTCCGCTTTTTTGCTCTTTATTCAAAAGGCAAAAAGACGGAAGGGAGATACAACCTTATCTATTATATAAAAATAAGTCGGGATTTCGTTACTGACGATATAACTCCAGAACGCACGAACCGATTTCGACGATTTTGCATTCGTTGGAAAGGTCTCGGGCTCCGTGAGGTTTATAACAAAGAAAATTGAAGAAAGATTTCAACAGAAAAGCGGAAAAAACTTTTTCTTTTTCACATACAGCATCATCTCTGATACTTAGCATGTACTACAAACTAATATTTTTTGTTTGACTGCTACTCATTGTTCTCTGCTCAGTTAATTTCGTGTAATAAACCGGCATTGTGTTCACTGTGAAATTATGCAAAAAAAGTTAAAAAAATAAGTTATTCGTTTCCTAACATTTCAATTGGAAACCATCAAATTTATCACATGTATTGTGCAAATTTTTATTCAATTTCAACAGCAGGCAATTTTTGTCTTCATCTTTTAATCGCCAAACGAAATGTTACATAAAAAAAACCATCTGGTGGTGATACGGAGTTCGCCCGGTTTGCTAGTTTATTTATAAGAAAACAAGTTTTAGTAATTTGTTATAAGCTAAAATTTAGTTTATACAAATGATGTTTTAAAAATATTATTTTAATATAAACATATTGAAAGTAGAAATTAATAATTTAGTTAAAAAATTAAAAAATCACTTGTGTCTAGAGATATACAAAATATATTTCAATTTAATAAAAAAAAAATATAAAAAAAAAAAACGATCAAAAAATCTTGTGTCTAGTTCAAGAAAAAAAATCAAGCCAAGTAAAATCCACAATTATAAGGTTTTGAAATTAATATTTTGATAGGATCATCTTTAAAATGAGACTAACGTTAGAAAAAAAATTAATAATTAATAAATTAATTAAAATATAATAAGATTTGCAGTAAAATAATCATTTAAAATCATACAAATTGAAAGTACTCTCGGCGCAACACACGAAACCGAGAAACATTCGATATTCTTCAAGCGGCTCAATGGTCTAGGGGTATGATTCTCGCTTTGGGTGCGAGAGGTCCCGGGTTCAAATCCCGGTTGAGCCCTATCTTTTTAACGTATCAAACTAAATTATTGCAAATACTGATTTAGAATCCTTTCGGATAGTCTAGGTATCTTTTACTAATTCCTAATAATACAAGTTTTATTGCAATATCAAAAATTTTATTATAAAACGTGCTAACATTGAAGTTACATAGTTATGAAACAAATAAAAAAAGTTAAAGAAATTTATTGATTAAATTGTGAATAATGCAATATCAATTTTTAATACAAATTTTCATAATTTGTGTTATTTGAAAATGCAATAAATATATAAATAACTCCATTTTGCTATTTATAAATATGCATAAATTTTTATTAGCCATGTCATTTGAAAGACTTATTTCAAAATTCCGACAGGCGTAAAATATCTGGATTGTAATTGGTCGTTAAACAATTAACACGTTAAACAAACAAATTTAATAGACAATTAGTGCCAAGTTTAAATGAAGAACCTAGGACAAATATTGCGCAAACGCTGGTACATGTGTTCAGTCAAATATAACGTAAGACACATTAGTGCTAACAGAAACAAATTTTGACTAATGAAAAATTCATCAAAAAAAAAAAAAAAAAAATAGCAAAATAAAAAAAATTCAATAATGTTAGTAGCTGAAAATTATTACTATTTAACTAGAAAAAGATGTTTGGAAGATTTGAAGTATTCTCACTATTTGTTTTAATATTAACGAATTTTTAGCGAACTGTGAGGATTATGAAAGTCGAATAATTTACCAAGCCAAAAAAATAGAATACGTGCAAAAATAAAGAACGTCTCGGAAACTAATTACTTAAAGAAACAACACAAGAACGTTTTCCGGTGTAAACACTTTAATTTAATAAGACTAATGGTTTTATGGCACACGAAACATGAAAATTAGCACGAACATGCAACCAGTTGCGCGACCATCATATGAAAAAATATAGTTTTGTTAAAAAATCTACAATGGTACATAATATATGGTGATAAATGAATCATCCATAATCCATCGGTCGTTTAAAGAGGGCATAAAATTCCAATGGCCTTGTTTCTAGACATGTTGTACTACAAGTCTATAAAACTCGTACGATCGGTAGACTAGGAAGTGAAACGGGTCAACGAACGTAAATTTATCGGAAAACTTGTAAGATTTATCATTATCATTATATTTTTTTAATAATAATCTGTAGAATCTTTGTAAATTTGATAATTCTGTCTCAATTCTGGATTTAAAATTTAAGACTCATCAACATGTTAAGGAAACTACTGAAACAAGAAGAAACAAGACCAAAGAAACTTCTATAATAGAGATAATTTTAATGAGAGAAAAATATTACTGCTGATTATTTTATAATTTATCAGAAAGTGCAATCAATCATATGACATAACATTATATTGTCA